ACTTATCATGTTTGGCAAAGCTTAAAAGTATTTTATTTTATTTTTTTGCCAAACAGGTTAATGTTACTTTTTTCCAGGACTTAATACTTCAAAAGATTACTTTTGTAGTCCTTACTTTCCAAATAGTACCTTTTTTTTCAAGCTTATCCAAGTGTGCTCCTGGTTGTCCTTTAAGCTGAACTTTTGAGTTCTCATTTTCCCTGAGCGTAGGTTTGTGCAAGTGTTTCATCAGAGTCTATAAACATGACCGAGCTGCTTCAGTGGAATGAACTATATGGCGAAGGGGGCTCTAGACGGAAGAAATCCCTTAGCTATTTCATGTGAAGGTGATGTTCATCTGTACAATCATTTCTCTTCCTTGCAGTCAAGCTGAAGTTTGAGCTAACTGCTGTGCCATTGGATGTGCTGTGAAGTATCAACTCATACATTGAAGTATAGGTTTTTTATTTATATATGCATTCCTGTGAATTGGAGATGGTATAGGGTAGTGTAGCCTCCTAAGGGTAGAGCAAATGAGGCTGCTCCTGCCTTTGCTTTGCTTCCCCATCTCTGTGCTGTCAATTTCGAAAGGATGGTGTTCAATTATAAGTTATTTAAAGTATCAGAAAAAAAGTACTTATATTGAAACCTAAACAAGCACCTAATTCAATATATATTTGTTTCTACTTTTTAAATAATTATTGAAACGAATAAGCAATCAATTCTGGTTTCCTTTAGCTGGTGCATGGTTGTGACCGACTTATTTGCCGAACGTTTTCAATATATATTTCTATAGACGAAGTTTTTGGTGTTGTAAAGGACTCTGAGCAGCATTTTTGGGTTTCTTTTTGTTTTGTAAGGAGACAACTGCAAGTTCCTGGTGATGTTTGATACGTAATACTGAATAAGATAATAAATATGATTTTAGCTACCTTTTCTTTTTTAATGCTGTTCACTCTATTAAAATTTTAATACCAATCTCTTTAATCTCTTTATTAAACAAGTCTTAAGAGTCAAAACTGTGTAAGAGTGACTTGGAACGGTGAACCCTCCTGTATGCCTTTACCCAAATGACTAAAATAGCCAATTTAGCTTCTTGTTTACTGTTTGACATGTAATGCATCTGATTTCGGCAAGACCTCTTTTTTGGTCCGCTAAACACGACTCGATGAGCAAAGAGGTTCTCTCTTTTCACATAGAAATACGACTCATATTTTTCATCGAATAACATACAATTTTTTGACAATTGAAGTTAGAATGACACGAGCAGATGATTTTACCTATCCCTTTTAGTACATTACTAAGTCACAGGTGGAGCAAATTTAGTCAAGTTGATTAAGGCAGTGTATTTATAATCTTAGGGTAATTGGCGCAAAACGTTCATACCTTTGAAGGTTTTTGTGGAAAACGTCTCTACTTTTCGTTTTTTGGCGTAGAACGTCCCTACTTTTCACATTCTTTGTGCTGAATGTCCTTTTTACCAATTTTTAACATAAAATGATAATTATACCCTCCAATATAAATAAAATAAAAAATTAAAGAAAAGAAAAATAAAGAATAAATTATAATATGCTCCTCAACATTTTTAAAAATGCAAATCAGTCCAAAAAGGCGATTTTTTGCCTTTTTTTCAGCCCAAATGCTTCCAAATTCCCGCAGCCTCCGGCCACCCAAGCATTCGGACGTTGACACCGATCAACAGCCCTCCAATTCCCCCTCGAATTACCACCCAACCACTCCCAATTTCATTAACTATAGTGGTCGAAATTAATGCTGAAAGTTCATTGTCCTAAAATTTAAAAATCATCGAAAATTACATTCCAGCCACCCCTATGATCGAAACTCACCTCCTATCAATTGCCTATCACCAAACGACCACACCCATGCCAACAATTTACAACAAACATAAAAAAAAAATAAAAATAAATAAATAATAATAATAAATTAATTTCATGCTAGATTCTTTGCTAGTCGTTACATAGTCTGAGAACTTCTCAAATTCCGGCGCTCAAGAACACCCATGGTCGCGAACCACCTGGGCTAGGTCCCTCTTCACCAGGCGCACCTAGCCCAACCATGGGTCTAGGTCAATTTCGATTTGAAGCCGTTCAATTCATGGGAGAAATACTATGTTCCAAAAATTATAATTTGATTTCGACCTGAAGTTCTAACGAATACATGCAAAATTGTGGATGACCCATGGGTGGAATAGCTTCGCCATGATGAGAGGGTGCTGAATGGAGTGGTCCGCGACCATGGGTCAAAGGGACGACGTCGGAATCAACCAAGTTCAG